ACAGTTTTTATGGGCCCCTCCCCAATCCTCGGCTCTCCTCCCTCCCCCCACACCCTCACTGCCTTCAGCCCAGCGGCCAGTGACTCCTCACCATCTGCTGCTGCCGCAGCCATCCTTGCTGCTGCCAGGAGGTCAGAGGGGAGGGCTGCTGAGCGGGGACACCTGCCCCCCTCTGTGCCTCCCTCCTGGCCACCTGCCTGCCTCCCTCCCAGCCATGGACAGCTGGGCTCCTACAAGGAGGAGGAGGAGGCACCCCGCTTTCTCCCCCTGCCCTGCCTCTGCCACTGGAGACCAGCCTGGGGGCTCCTCTCCTAGCTGCCTTGGGGGCAGGTCACATGAGGCAGGCTTGGTGCTGGCCTTTCTCTCCCCCTGCTGCCCTTCCAAGGCCGGCAGCGCTGGCGGGGTCAATGGTGGGTAATCCTCTCTGAGTCCAAGTCTTTTCTCCAGCAGCAGCAGCAGCCTGGACACTTGCCTTGCCTTGCTGGCATCCTGGACTAGTCCTCCGTCCCCTTCTTTGCCTCCTTTCCCTTGCTGTGTGGCCTCCACCCCAGCCAAAGGAAGGGGCAGCTGCCTGACAGAAGCCAGCTGGGGTCCAGAAGCAGCCAGAACTTTGCCAGGCAGGAGTGTGTTGAAGGTGATGGCAGAAATGTACATGTGAAATCTATAGGGACACTACATCCACCTCCAAAAATTGCTATTATGTCAACAGACATCCTAATATCAATTGCATACATTCAGTATTCTAATATACTATCCTAAAAAAAGAAATACACTAAAATACATTAAAATACAGAGGATTTATAGTCCCTCTTGTTGAGAATACATATGTGAGGACTATAATATGCAATAAACCACTTGTATTTATTATTTAGTTATTATTTAGAAGTATGAACATGGCATGGCAGTACCGCATAGACATATAATGGCAGGCCCCCCAAGCAAAACATTGGCCCCCTGAGCAAAAAGTTGTTAGCTCCGGGGCTGACATCGATGCTGCTCTGCAAACAAGATGTATTCGATCAACTGGAGAGACAGTATTTTTGCTGGACCCTTTCCTGGCAACTTCTGTGAGATCCAGGTTTGAATTTGCACTCAGCTATGGAAGCTTGCTGGGTGACCTTGTGCCAGTCACACCCTCTCAGACTGTAATGTACTCATTCCAGACCACATGTGAGGCAAGGCCTCCACGCGTCAGAAGCTGTCAAGCTTCACTCCCAAAGACAATGGACTCTACGGATCCTAGACCGCACCAATAGGGGGACTAGGCTCCCAGTCGAGAGCCTATGGAACTCGCGGCCACTGTAATAGCTAATATACAGAGTAGGGCTGCCAAGTGGGGGCGGGGAAACCCCCGCTTTGAAGGCCCGATTTCTGCTGCAGCGGAATCGGGCCCTGGGGGGAACTCCGCCCCCCAAGGCTGCGTCACCAGAGGTGATGCAGCCACGTCGCTCATGTTGGGGGCATGGCTCAGATCGTCGGGGGGGAAACCATATGGTTTTCCCCGACGATCGGGGCCACGCCCCCAACGTGAGTGACGTCGCACGTCACTTCTGTTGATGTGCTGGCGGCGCGCGCATGCGCATCCGGAGCTGGCTCCCGAAGCCGTAGGAGCCTCCCCCGCCGGTGAGTTTGCCAGACTTGGAAACCCTAATACGGAGTGGGGTGTGTTTGGGGTGTGGGTTTCCTTGCACATATAAGCCGGCCTGCGAGCCGAGCAAGTTGACTTGTTCTTAACGAATAAAAGTACATAAGCTGAAATCACTTGTCCGTCTTCGTACTTTTCACAGACTAACCTCCATCACGGAATGGTTGCTGTGAGGTATTATATTGTGTGATATTATAAGCCACTTTTGGTTCCCCTTGGGGGGGAAAAGCAGGCAATCAATACAGCCATTAGATCCAGTGTTATTTGGGCTGCTGAAATGGGATTTTTAGCTGATGCTTTTATTATTCTGTTTTACATTGGTTACTTGATGGCCAGATACTGTTTTATTGATATATTTTTAAAAATGTTTATAGATTGTGATTTTAATTTATTGAAAGCTATACAAAATGAAATGGTAGCATAGAAATACCAGGAAAAATACTTCACAGTTCCTATCCATGGAGAAATTCTTTTATAAGCATATGCTGTTTTTATCCATCACTTTCTTCTTCCACAATTCCATAAAACGTCCAGGTCATGGGTATATGCTTAAGCCATTTAGAAACCAATGAGACAGAAGCAGCACACAACCCTGTGCGACATTATAGCTTAAACCTTCTTATTCATCATGAATCAACTCTTCCTACTTTTTCTTTTCAAAATGGGTGATCAGGAAAGATTTCTGGGGGATATGATAATGCTGGCTACCAATCTAAGATGTTTTCCATTTATATTGCTCTTTGTTTCATTCAAAGTTTATGAAGGCTTTCTCCTAGGCAGAAGGTGAAGTGTTTTGGTGTGAGAGTTCATCTCAATCTATTCACTCGCTTGTCAAACACAAATGTCAAATCAGTAGCACTAAAATGGCTTTTGAAAAGAGAATGACTACAGTGATGTGAACAGAATCTTTGGAAGTGAAAATGAAACTTCAGTGGTTAGCATGAAAGTTGTGCCTCAAGAATGAAAGTTGTGCTTCAGGAACTGAAATTGTAGGTTAAATTTAGCTAGCCTGGAGACTGAAGTGTTAATGTACAGTGAAAAATCTCAATGTCTAACACAGAAGAACCACATTTTGCAAGTGTGGAAAGGCTGCGATTAACATTAGTAAGGCTTCTTTATATTTTAGTATGCATGCTGTGTTTTGACTCTATCTGGGTATTGTTTATTTATCAGTCTAGTTTCTATCCTAGCCTTTCTCCAAGGCACTCAAGCATAGTGAGGTTATACCGTTTCATTCTTACAAGGAATCCCATTAGGTAAGTTACGCTGAGGAGCCTGGTGCCTTGACCAAGGCAATTCAATGCACTTTGCAGCTGTCTAGGAATTAGAATCCAGGACTTCCCAGTACAATTCCAGTGCTCCATCCATGAATGTTTCATCCTACCATTTTAGGACTTTGGTTTTTGTTTTTGCTGTGCAAGGAAATCTTATATGCAGGTGAGGTTGCCAGCTCCAGGTTGGAAAATGCTGGAGATCTGGGGGCAAAGCCTGGGAAGGGCAGAGTTTGGGGAGGAAAGGGAACTCACCAGGGCTATAATGCATAGAGCCCCTCTGAGGCTGCCATTTCTTCCAGAGGTAGGATTGCCAGATCCAGGATGAGAAACTCCTAGATATCTGGGGATGGAGCCTGGGGTGGGGGGCAGGGACCTCGATGGGGTACAATGCCACAGAGTCCACCCTCAAAAGCATCTGTTTTCTCCAGGGGAATTTACCTCTGTAGTCTGGACATGAGCTATAATTCTGGAGCATCCCTAAATCCCACCTGCATACTCACATCTTGAAATGCACCCCTTACGTCTAGTGTGAACTGGTACAGTCTGCTTTACCTTAGAAATTTTCCTTCTAATCTGATATGCAGGCAAAGCCTAACTCAGTTTTGAACAAGAGCCAAATCCTTGAAGTTATTTGATATTATGACTAAAAGCTGATTGCTATCCGTGCAAGACTGTAACTGTTTAGGACTGCACTGCAGGCAGGGCTCTAGTCGGGGGGGAGCTCTCAGGGACGGAGCTCCGGAAGAGAACCTCTAGGGGGCGGGGCGGTCACGTGGTGAAGCCCCGCCCCCTTCTTTACCCCGCCCTCTGCTTCGATCCTCATTCCGTTTGGGAATGAGGATGAAGCAGGAGGGTAAGTAGCCGGGCCTTCTGACACACTTCCGGTGATGTCAGGGGGTGTGGCCTTCTGTCACTTCCGGTGATGTCAGGGGGTGTGGCATATGCAAATAAGTTATGCTAATGAGTTATGCTAATGAGCTCCGGCAGCTCTTTTTTTACAACAAGACCCCTGACTGCAGGTTTGAAGGAATATGATATATATTTTTTCAATAGACACATTGATGTACTTTTTTTCCATTTCCTGAAAACAGAAAATGACTGAAGCTGAAAGTAGATCTAAGAAAATTTTTAGACAATGTTAGCAGTCCTTTTAAAACAAATAAATAAATTGGTTGGGAGATATTTGGAGCAGCTGATAAAAGACTGATTTTTTTTAACCTTAAGAGGAAGCATCAATAAGGATTACAATGTAGTTTCACAGGAATATATGTACCACATCCCATCCATCCATCCATCTCCCCCCCCCTCACACACGCAAACTGACAAAGCAAATTAGAGTAAAACCTTTGACAGGTTTTAAGGGTATGGATGAGAAAAAGAAAGGAGGAAAGAAATTGTGAAGGATTTAAGTGGAGGAGAGGGTGGAGAGGTGTTTGTAGTCTATGCCTATATTAAACAGCTACTTTAATATTAAAAGCAATAGAGGAAGAAGAAGAGATTGGATTTATACCCCGCCCTTCACAACCCAAAGATGTCTCAGAGCGGCTTACAAACTCCTTTCCCTTCCCCTCCCCTCCCCACAACAGACACCCTGTGAGGTGGGTGGGGCTGAGAGAGCTCTTGACAGATACTGCTCTTTTTCAAGAACAGCTCTTATCAGAACTACGGCTTGACCAAGGTCATTCAGCCAGGTGCAAGTGGAGGAGTGGGGAATCAAACCCAGTTCTCCCAGATTAGAGTCCGCTCACTTAGCCACTACATCAAACTGGCTCTCTCAATAGCCTATGCATTCCAGTAATTTAGATTCTTCACTCCAGTAACCAGTTTTTCTGTTCGTAACATGAGAAGGTTTTTTCCCCCCCTTCAAAAAAGCTGAGTCATTTCTGCTTCATCCAAAATTCCAGCCAGGGTCCAGGAAGTCCTCTGAAGCCCTACTTCTCTTTTTTTGTTTTGTTTTGCTCTCTCTTTCTAGATTTACACAAACTAATTAGCCATACATTATTCATTGTCAAATATTTAATATTCCTTTTCTTTTCCATTTGTCATTAGCAAGATTTGCATTCACTTCAGGAACAGGGTGTCTGTAAGGTGGTGGTGCTTTATAGGGTCGATTATTTAAATTGCTGGAATCTAATCAATGCCGGTAGGTAACTGATCTGCCAATATAATATTTCCTCTGTCTGTCCATTAACTGAAGTGATCAAAATCATTCTAACTCCTCCCATTCCTTTTACAATACAGCATGTGTATCTCATATTGTTGGCCTTTTATTTGGGAAATATTCTGTGTCTCTGTAATGTTTGTTACTCATAAGACTGATGAATTCTCTTCTTGCTACTAGATGTATACTATGTGAGTATTCACATCTTTTTTAAAAAATGTGCTATATTCTGTGATATTTTTGACACAGAGAAAGTTCTGCTTGCAATAAAGACATTTTCTTAAGATGTAATTTTGTAGTATATTGTAGACATGCATTAATAAAAAAACCCAGAAAACATAGCTATTATGCATTCTTCTATTTGGATTAATGTCTTGATATTATATTGATCTACAGAGTTATATAAGCAGAATGATTCTTTGTTCCTCTAAAAATTTAAGCTAAAAATGTTAGCCCATATCATGCCAACACTGAATCTTGAATTGTCATGTGCATTCTCATGCATTTTATTTACTAAGAATGAACACAAATGTTCATATTTCTTCAAGACTAAAGCTAGTGTTATAGTAAACTGTCACTGATAATATGAACCATTTTTCAGTGTTCAAACTAAAAGATGTAAAGATTAACCAGAGAGAGCTGATGTGGTGCAGTTGTTAGTGTTGGGCTATGTTTTGAGAGAACTGGGTTCAGATCCCCACTCTGATATGAAGCTTGCTGAGTAAACTTGAGCTGTTTGTTCTCTCTCACCCTGTTCTACATCACACAGCTGTTGTGTGGCTTAAATAAAGAGGGAAGAACCATGTAGGTTATCTTGGATTCCTTGGTGGAAGGTGGTGATAACTATGCAATAGGTAGTTTTGCTCAACAAAAGCAGAGTTGATTATTTTAAACCTTTAAATATATATATGAAAAATAGCTGTCTTTCATGCACAAAAATATATCTGGAATGGGACCAGAAAAATAATAAGAATTTTGTTCTGGTATCTACAAGGGGTTTCTAAGCTACGGTTGTAAACCAGTTGCTTGATCTCCAAAGGGACTCCTGAGACATGTAGTTTTGTGAGGGGCTAGCATGGGCACCAGCCTACAAGTGACAGGATTCTTGGGAGGAAAGCCATGGCAATTAAACATAAATGTAACACATGCAAATTTATTGTGTGTTTTGTGTCCCTGAAACGTAGGACTAAAAT